CCAGTATGCAGCCAGGAACAGCGGCTTATATTTGCATATTTTTTTCTTTTTTCTCTCTCCCTCCTCCAATTTTAAAGTTGCGACTTTTATTCAGGTGCAGCTTATACTCGGGCCAATAATATAATATAATGCTGTTGAATGGGGTGGGTGAAGACAGTCTGGGTTTCTTCAACAGATCAAGGCTCTTGTTGGAACAAGCTTCCAAAAAAGGAGATGCACCAACTTGTCTGAACTGCCTCCAGTTTCCCGATCTTTCCTGTTGAGCAAATGGCCATGATCTCCTTGGTCCTGCAATCGTGTTTTGTAACTGCCTTCTGTATGTGCTTCCAAACCACCAACTGACTAATAGATTGAGACACACATGTAGAGGGGATAATAACCTCAAAGACCTGTTACCACAGCACAGGAGAGGGGGCCTCATCCTGTAATGTTTCACCAGGGGAATTTCACAAACAAGGACAGAGATGGGGTGACCTTATTTGTTGTATATGTATATTTGAGCTTTTATGGCCCACCTTTCTAGGATTGCATTTATTTATTTATTTTATCTAACAAAAAAGAAACTTTTTTGAAAACTGTTGAGGGTTTTTTTTACAATCAAGTGGCGTGTAAATTTTATTAAATAAATAAATAAAATTCACAGACAGCCTACACACACACACACACACAGAGAGAGAGAGAGAGAGAGAGAGAGAGAGAGAGAGCTCTGAACAGTTTACATAAAATAATATACTATTTTATACTTAAAGCTGCTGTGGAACGGTGGGTTATTAAGTGGTCAATCAATTTTGGCATTTTCTTACACATACCAATATAAAGTAGACCTGCCTACGATCAATGATGTAGAGTTCCAGAAAATACATAGGTGCTTCCACATTAAGAGCACCCAAACCTTGCAAATGTGAAATGAACTTTATGTGGCACTTCTAAATGTATCAGTTCTAAATGTAGCAGGCAGCGGACCAGGAGGCTTCTCCAGCTCTTAATCAGTTGCCAAACATAAATGACGAGCTAGAAAAAAACCACAGCATGGTATTCAAGCTTTTGGGTGACACAGTGCTCTTCTACTGGCTAGGAATTAAGGAAACAAAATGGCTCCAGGGAGGCAAGGCATTTTTTTCTGGTGGAGTGCATGTTTTCAAGTTGCCCATGCAAACTTCAGTTGACTAGAAATGCGAGAGAAGTTCAATTCTGTACTCATTTAAAGACAAATCTATCAAGGTCCTTTGACTTTACATGGCTGCCGAAATGGGTGTGGGATCAACCAGGTTGGATGTAGGGCTGTCGACTTTTCAGCCAGGTGTTATAGCGATGCCTGCAAAAGATGCTTGTTCTATAGATATTTGCATGTGAACTGTTTCTCCCCAGACCATAAAACACTCCATGTGCAGATTTTGGGTTTTGTTTAAAAGCTGAAAGAGCCGGTAAGTCCATTTCCACTCAGCATCCTCTGATCCTACCATGTCCAATTAGTAATATTTCATGGATGAGAGCCAAAGTAGTAATACACTGAGAAGAAATAGAAAAGGCTTGGAAAGGAGGAAGCAGGTAAGGTTGCTGCTGCTGATTCATTCTGAGTGAATTTATACCTCACTTTACAGACTGGCAGAATCCGTGACCAGGGAGAAGAGTCGGTGGAAGAAGATTGGAAGAAATTTAAAGACTACTTGCAGAAATACTGTAAAATTAACGAATGCTAAAATGATGTTGGATTAAAATTAAGTGGTATTGGTAAAAAGATTATCAAGAATATGCAAATATGGAGTGATAATGGTTGAAAATACATAGTTATAATAGGTTAAGATACTGAGTAAAGACAAATGATAGAGGGTAAGGATTTGCTGAAAGGATTTTTAAACGGGAATACAAAAGGGGAGGTGTGAGGAGGTCAAAGAAATAAGGAAATGAGCTGAAAGACTATTGAAAGATGGATTGAACTTTAAATCTTTTTTTTTAATTTAGCTATTAACTTCTTTTTCTCTTTTATATATCTTTTTATGTGTGTTTTTTTCTTTTTTAGTATGTTAAGTTTTGTTTTAAATCTTTTCTATTTTGTAACTTATGATTTTCGTAAACTCTACTTTGTAAACTTAGGTTTTGTGTAAACTTATGTTGGAGGGCACAAGGAGAAGGGGGCGACAGAGGACGAGATGGTTGGATAGTGTTTTCGAGGTTACCAGCATGAGTTTGAGCAAACTGCGGGAGGTAGTGGAGGACAGAGGTGCCTGGCGTGCTCTGGTCCATGGGGTCACGAAGAGTCGGACACGACTAAACGACTAAACAACAACAACAACAATGTTTTGTGTAAACTTATGTTTTGTGTAAACTTATGTTTTGTGTAAAACCTTAATAAATATTTCATTAAATATATATATATATACCTCACTTTACAGTCCTAATGACACCTACATGCCTAGATGGTACAAACAAGCCCTCTCTGTTTTGTTTCCTGGGGTAATTTACAAGCTGACAGCCCCTCTGGAATGAAGGATCCCATCAGATCAATCATGTCCAAACAGCGCCTCTTCCTAGCAGCCTTCCTCCCATTTCTCTTCCAACTTCCTCCAACAACATCTAAGCCAATGCCATTGGTTCCACAGCTCTATCTGCAAGAAGCAGGACACTTTTGTGCCTGGCCATTAGGGTACTTCATTGGCTAGGGAGTTGACATTAGTACCCTGAAGAGAAAAGGAGCATTTGTGGTGGACACCAGCCAATGGCAGCACCCAGACGGGACGTGCAAACTCTGCCGGAATCCCTTGAGGAAGGGTCAGCTGCAGAAACTCCTTTTAGCTGGCATGGACTGGCAAGTACTTCACACATATCATCAGGGTGTCAGCAGTTCCATTGAGAATTTGGATATGGATGTCGCGAATTCAATGGCCAAGGAGGTGAAGAACAACAACTGGAAAGTAGGTTTGGAATTGGATAGGGTGGTGAACAAAACAGGGATGAAGCTGCCCAAGGCCTGGGTAGCCCTTGCAGGATCTCACTCCCAGATGACTATGTTTGCACATGAGAAATCTCAGGAGGACACTTATAGTTTTGTGAGGCAAGAGGTCTTCTGCGAATACTCCAGGTGAGCAATATTAGCCCTCTACAGCCACAAGTGGCCACTCAGAGAAAGTAATGAGATGAGTACCCTTAATAGAGACATCCTTGTTCTTTGCAGCACAGTATATTGGCAATTTGGCAGAGAGAAATAGATAAGCATGCTTTAGGTGACGTGTAAAGTATTGTGTGCTTCCCCTTTTCTGAGTTGCAGGAAATTCAGGGAGGCCTTTACAAATGGAGGGAGCATATTTCAGAAGACAAAGAGCTGTGTACATACCATAGATTTAAAGCACATGATTTAAAGCGAATAATTCTGGGAGCTGTAGTTTACCCTACACAAAGCTATAATTCCCAGCACTCTTCATAAACTATAATTCCCAGGATTCTTCAGAACAAAACCCTGTATAAGCAAAGATATGTTTTTGTTCTCCTGTGGCAAGACTGAAGCACATAATAGTTTCAGAGCAAGTTATTTCAAGGCAGGCAACTGTTTCACAAAACAGAGACACTGCTTGCTCAGGATTCGAAAATATTAAAAGGATGTTCTTGGCAAATAAATTGATGGAATGTTCTACCCCAAAATGCAGACCCCCTTGATATTAAAATTGGGTCTAATTTTATTCTACAAAGTTTCATTGTCCGTTGCAAATGCAACAAGGGAGAGCCCTCCTTCATTCCTCTCTTAAGGTGTAGCCTCAGAGAAGACAACCCATTCGTCACTATTATTGCCAACAACCTCATGTATAGTGCAAAAATCATTTTCCAAATGCCATGTATTTAAACAACATTTTTAAAAATGCCCACAACACACCATTAAAAGTTTTGTCTGTGTCTAGAGATACCACATTTTTCTGAAGTCACAGTATATCATACTGAATGCCCTTTGGATCAAGTCAGCAATATTCCATTTGGAATAAAGCCTGTCTGATCTAAGCAATAAATGCATTTAACATGCACAATGTAATTGGCAGTAACAATTTGCTGGCCGCATCCCTGACCATATATCTGAAGGAGCGTCTCTACCCCCATCGTTCTACCCAGACTCTGAGGTCCAGCACCGAGGGCCTTCTGGCGGTTCCCTCGCTGCGAGAAGCCAAGTTACAGGGAACCAGGCAGAGGGCCTTCTCAGTAGTGGCACCCACCCTGCGGAACACCCTCCCACCAGATGTCAAAGAAAACAATAACTACCAGACTTTTAGAAGACATCTGAAGGCAGCCCTGTTTAGGGAAGCTTTTCATGTTTGATGTATTACAGTATTTTAATATTTTTTTGCAAGCCGCCCAGAGTGCTTAGGGAAGCCCAGCCAGATGGGCGGGGTATAAATAATAAATTATTATTATTATTATTATTATTATTATTATTATTATTATTGGCTATGCTGATGGGAGTCCAGTGACTTATGGACTCCACAAGCTTCTCTTCCCTCACACGAATGGAAGCCTGTGGGTGTGTGTCGTGTGGGCAACACTATAAACTTTGTTTATAGCACTATAAACAGCGGGTGGCGCTGTGCTCTAAACCACTGAGCCTCTTGGGCTTGCCAATCGGAATCCCTGCAACGGGGTGAGTTCCCATTGTTTGCCCCAGCTCCTGCCAGCCTAGCAGTTCGAAAGCACATCAAAGTGCAAGTAGATAAATAGGTACCACTCTGGTGGCAAGGTAAATGGTGTTTCCGTGCACTCTGGCTCCCGTCAAAAAATTATTGATTAAAATAAATCTACATTGAAATGCTGACAAATTTTCATGAGATGAAAAAGGCTAAGAAATGTGGGGAACGACATTAAAGAAGGAGAGAATGAGAACTGAAAGAACAAAAATTGACAGATCCTTCCTTCTTTAGTTGAAACAGAGTAAAAACGGGTTTGTTATGTAAGTGTGTGTGTGTGTGTGTGTGAGAGAGAGAGAGAGAGAGAGAGAGAGAGAGAGAGCGCCAAAAAAGCAATATGATAGCCAGAAGGGAGAGGCATGGTTTATATAAAACCCAGTCTGGCACAATCCATGGATTTCTTCCTAGGAAAAAGTTATGAAACTTTTGGCAAACTTTTCATTGGCTCAAAAGCACAACAGAGTGGTAAATCAGCCGCTTGATCTGTGTGGAGCTGAATCCAATACGGTCCCCCTGGAAAAAGTGAGTCCTTTTTGCATTCCTTTCTCTCCTTCCCTCTGCTGTTTTGTCTTTTCCTCATTATCTAAAGGAACCTGATTTGCATCTTTATTCCATTGTCGTGTGGACCAGTTCTTGGATTCCTTTCTCCTGCCACACCCAGTTGCTGCTGTTTTCTTTCCTAACTGGTGAAAGAGAAAATGGAGGGTGAGACTGCATTAAGGATTCCAGGAACAGCACTAACTTTTAACCCCTCTGCCTATTTTCATCAGAGCACCAGGAATACCATGTGATTCGATTTAAACACACCGTGTAGCAAGTAGACCAAAGCTTATCCCACTGTTTTCTAGTTTTCCTGCAATGGACTTCAAATTCACATTCCTAACCTACAGAAACGGGTGTGGGTCAGGCATGGAGCAACCAGGATGGCGGTAGGGCTGCCAATTTTTCAACCAGCTGCTGCAGCTGTGCCTGTAAGAAATATCTGCACGTGAACTGTTTAACCCCATGCCTAAAAACACTTCATATGCAGATTTTGGCTTCTGTTCAAATGTTGAAAGAGCAGATCAATCCATTTCCACTCACCAGCCTGTCATCCTGCCCGGTCCAATTAGCTATCCTTATGCGGTGATATGCAAAACATAATTTTTGGTTGCCTCCAGAATGTCAGCACAATTAAATTCATACAAGGCACACTGCAACCATGGTGCTGCAAATCTACTTCAAACACAATAATGGACTTTATGGGAAGTTGTGAATTAGGGTGGATTCAGGAGGAATGCTCTTTGCCATATAACCCCCTCCAAATAAATCAGAACAAATGCTCAATAAAAGAGAACAGTGAAGTTATTTTTTTCACTACTACATTTCACAGTTCTGCCACCTCCTCCTTGATGTTCACATAGGCTGTTCATTTCTGTTTCTGTACTAACCAGAGGGTATTGATGGGGGTAGGGAGCGGGTGGCGCTATGCTCTAAACCACGGGGCCTCTTGGGCTTGCTGATTGGAAGGTCGGCGGTTCGAATCCCCACGACGGGGTGAGCTCCCTTTGCTCTGTCCCAGCTCCTGCCAACCTAGCAGTTCGAAAGCATGCCAGTGCAAGTAGATAAATAGGTACCACTGCGGCGGGAAGGTAAACGGTGTTTCCATGCGTTCTGGTTACTGTCATGGTGTCCCATTGTGCCAGAAGGGGTTTAGTCCTGCTGGCCACATGACCCGGAAGGCTGTCTGTGGGCAAACGCCGGCTCCGTCGGCCTAAAGCAAGATGAGCAACCCCATAGTCACCTTAACCGTCCAGGGCTCCTTTACCTTTTTTATTATTGATGGGGGTGAGGGATGTGATTCCCTTGGCAAACATGTTCACATTTTTGCTAGAGAAAAATTAGGAGTGACTTAAGGACTCCTTTTGGCATGAAGCTGGGTTGAGAAACAACACCTCAATTTATAACAAAGTGCAGGATACACAATGCATTTTGGGTAACGTCCTGTGAAAACACAATAAAAACATGACACTGGTAATACAGTGAATGCAGTGATTGGGAACGTGGCCACAGTCTTGGTCTAAGCATTGTGCCAGCAAATCAGGATGGATTCTCAATAAACAGCTCATCTGGAAGAGCCCATGGTGTGAGACCCCTATTCATATCTGAAACTCAGGGCTGCCATTGGAGCACCAGACTCCTTCCTCCTGCATCACATGCCCATCCTCCTCTGAATTACCTATAGCCTTACTGCAGGGGGAAGAGGAATGACGTGTTCAGCTATCAAAGCAGTACCCCTCTCTTCTCCATGTCTATGTCCGATTTATATGAATGCTTATTAGAATTTGCACATCACGTTCGTTCTGGGCACAGAGGGAGAGGTTGTGTTCACTGTGCAAATGCCAGGTTAGCAATTCTGTCACCGCACTGCCCTCTCGTGGCAAAAATAAGGACACACAAATTGTTCTACTAAAGACTAACTTAGTTGGTCTTTAAGGTGCTACTGGAAGGAATTTTTTTATTTTGTTCTACTAAAAACTGTGTATACTGTATCCGCTGCGCTTGTGGGCTGTTATATGTAGGCAGTACCACTCGTGCAATTAGGACCAGAATCTCTGAGCATAGGTCCAAAATACATAACATATGTTTAGACGCCCCATTAGTCCAGCATTTCCAGCAAGCAGCCCATACAGAGAATAATCTGAGGTTTTTTTAATCTTGTGGACCTTTAAAAAATAACCTTTTAGAACTGTAGATATACGAAGAGCCTTGTTACAGAAAGAGTATAAATTAACATTTCAATTAGGAACCTTATATGCAAAGGGTTTGAATACTGAATTTGATCTAGAATGCTATGTATGAGTGTACTGTTGTTTGGTTGTAACAGAAAAGTGATGCTGCAGCTTTAACCAAATAATCATGTGATGATTGATTCTATACTCCTGTATTGTATTTAACTGCTTGTTATGAGTCTGAACACTAGTTGTGCCTGTGAATACTTTCTTTATCCTGAGCAAACCGTTTTGTATGATTGGGTAAGGTATAGTATAAGACTGATCTTTTCTAATTTTTATGGTTTAACACACATTGTAATTGGAGTGCTATTTTGTATCATGCAGCTTTTCGGACTGATGAAGCATGTAGCGAAACCTGTAATAAATCCGGAGAACAGGTCTCTTTTTGCCCACTTGCGTTATTCTCACCAGGGTGGTGGCTTTGATTTGCCTTCCCGTGATTGATCCATGTACCCGGCTTTGTGTTTCCAATTCAAGACCCATTGAAGAACATCTCATCCAGCTCAATCTTTGAAAAACAGCTTTGAAAAACTTTTTCATATTCTCCAGAGTGCTACCCTTGCCGTTGTGGCAGTATGTGGTTGCCATTCTGTGATTGGACTTACGCTACTTGTTGAATGGTTCATTTATCCAGTCCGTATAACGTTTAGTGTACATGTAATTTGTTAAGATAGAGTTGTACACTTATCCACTCCATGTTTACATTATCTCCAGGCTTTGTCTTGCACATGGCACCTTAGTATGTTTGTTATTTGAATGGTTATAAGTCTATCTCTATTCTAGCTATTATTCTAGTAAATTTGGTTTTATGCTTATAAGCCAGTTTGTGGCGTTGTTGTTGTTTTGTTGTTTCTTTATCTGCTGCCATAACTTATTTTATGCATTATAATTTATGTATTATATTATGCATTATAATTTATATTACAATCCTAGGTGCTAGGAAGAATGAGGCTGTCCGAAGACGTCTGTTGCCTATTCCTTGCAGTCCTGCTGGTTGATCTACTCCCTGAGTCATCCTGTGGCAACAACCCCCGCTATGAGAAGTTCCTGAACCAGCACCGAGATGAGCCCAGGAGCCGCTTCCACGGCCGATACTGCAACACCCTCATGGGCAGCCGTGGCCTGACCAAACCCGAGTGCAAGGAGGTGAACACTTTCATCCACGGCTCCAAGCGGCAGATCCGGGCCGTGTGTGCCGAAGGAGGGCTTCCCTCGGGAGAGCTGCGGAAGAGCCGGCAGCACTTCAGAGTCACCACTTGCACGCTCCGGGGGGGCTCCACTCGCCCACCGTGCGAATACAAGGAGAACATTTCGCCCAGGTACATTGTCATTGGCTGCGAAGGCGGCTGGCCGGTGCACTATGACGAAAGCCAGATTGTGACCTCTCTTTGAAGCACCATTGGTAGACCTGAAGGAATCTCTCTTCCCTGTGTATTCATCAAATTCCCAGTATCCAGTATCCCAGTCAAAACAAAGCCCAAGTACATGAAATAGCTGTGTTCACATTAATCCATTGAAACCTTCCCTTGCCTCGACTTTTCCTTCCCTCTTTATTTCATTAAAGGAGTCGCCTTTAATGTTTGTTGCTCTGCAAAGCGCTGTGTATACGGATGACACTGTTTCAACGCTAATATTGTCATTGTTAATCATGGCCACCACCATGGGATCTCGATTGAATCATATGCAGATTAGGCCCACTGAAATCAATAGGGCTTCACTGAGTCATCACTGGTTTTCCAAACAGTAAGGAGACTACCCTAAATATGAATGAGACTGAATCTGATCCAACAAGTTTACACAGTGGTACCTCAGTTTTTGAACGTCTCCGTTGATGAACATTTTGATTTTCGAAATGCTTCAGTTTTCGGATATGCCTTGGAAGTCGAACATGCTTCCACTGAATGCAAGATCCTGTGGCCTAGCTGTCAGCTATTGAGTTTTTGGTTTTCGAACGTTTCAGAACTCAAACCGTCTTCCGGAACAGATGTCGTTCAAAAACCGTGGTACCACTGTAATATCATTTTACAGAAATAAGTGACAATGTGCTGGAATATACTGTATTCAGCACATGTGATTGGGAAGTATCCTGGCAGCGCTACGAGTTACCATGACATTATTGAATCGTATCGCTTTGAAGAATTTCTGCTGCTGTTTGCTTTATTTCTGTGCTTTTGTGTTATAATGATTGTGATGTTTTATTTTCAATGCTGTTGTGATTATTGTGAGCCACTGCTCACAATATATATATGCTACACATATATTGGCTGCACATGTAAAAAGAAAAGTAAGGACTATATAAATACACATTTAAAACCTTACAAACCTTTTTTATTCATTATATTTAAATTAGAAGTGAATAAAACATTGCATATGAACAAATTAAAGGCTCTCAAGTTTGTTTCTTAATCATTCATTTTGTGGCATATATTTTCACCCAGATCTAGTTTTTCTTAGTTGATGACATTCAGGACAGGCATCAGTCAGGTTTCCAGTCACAGAAATCTGCTATCATCAAATCCATTCCAAGGAGGTTCAAAACAATTAGTCAGAGCCTTGGGCACTGTTGCTATTGAAAGAATATTGATTCCTGGCCCCTACTATATGAGAACATGGGACAAGCTAGCAGCACATCACTCAATGACGAATATTTGAACGAATGTGCTGCAATTTCCTCAAATTCACATCAAAGGGTTCAGAATTCCTGAATGACAGGGAGAAAGCGAGAAACCAAGAGGGATTTTGAAAAAATCCAGGGCTTAATAAGAGACAGGGCCCATCCCATAAAAAGCAACAACACAGGAAGTTGCATTAGGCTGAGTCAGAACTCTGGTCTATCTAGTTTAGTATTGTCTGCACCAAGTGGAAGTCATTCTCGAGGGTTTCTGACAAAGGTTTCTCCCATCCATACCTGGAGATGCCAGTGAATCTAAGCAATTCAGTCTCTTAAGCTTAAGCCAAGAAATAGTATTCTCTATGAAATTCAATATCAATATACGTATCAAGGCTTTGAGTTTAGACCACTGAAGAAACCCAGAAAAATACCTTGGGAGTGTGTTACCTGCAAGCCCCAGTAAAAGGGCCCCATTGGGGGTGAACAGCGGCCTCTTGATTACTTGGACTGCCAGAGTGAAACAGGTGCAAAATGCCGGCACCTTGTCTACAACTTTTATTAACATCCATCTACAACTTCACTAGCATCTCTCGGTATTGTGAACAACATTGAAATTACCTTTTGTTGGTACCTTCATGAACTTACCCAAAAAGATAAAGAAAACAAAAGACTGAGCTAAGTACTTGAAAAATCCATTGAAATAAGATATTATAAGTTCATCTTAGGTTGGGTAGTTCGTAAGTCTCTTTGGCTTTGCATACCGTATTTTTCGGACTATTGGACGCACCGGTCCATAGGACGCACCTAGTTTGGGGGGGGGAAATAAAGGCAAAAAAAATTTATTCCCCCCCCCCGCCAGGCGCGGGGCTGGGGCGGGGAAGCCCGAGCTTCCCCCTCCCCCAGAACGGGACCCAGAGCCATGCCGAAGCTGCGCGCAGCTTTGGAATCGCTCTGGGAGCTTGCGGGGGTGGGGGAGGAGGAAGCCTTCCGCCAGCCTCCAAACCATGTCGGGAGACAGCGGGATGGCGCGCTGCGCCTCTCCCGCTGTCCCCCGAGTTTGCGGGGCTGGGCCAGCCTTCTAACCAAGTCGGGGACAGCGGGAAGGGCGCGCTGCGCCCCTGCCACTGTCCCCCGAGTTTGCGGGGCTGGCGACGGGGAGGAGCAGGCTTCTCCCCCCGCCAGCCTTCTAGCCAAGTCGGGGGTCAGCGGGAAAGGCGCGCTGCGCCTCTCCCGCTGTCCCCCGAGTTTGCGGGGCTGGCGACGGGGAGGAGCAGGCTTCTCCCCCGCCAGCCTTCTAGCCAAGTCGGGGGTCAGCGGGAAAGGCGCGCTGCGCCTCTCCCGCTGTCCCCCGAGTTTGCGGGGCTGGCGACGGGGAGGAGCAGGCTTCTCCCCCCGCCAGCCTTCTAGCCAAGTCGGGGGACAGCGGGAAGGGCGCGCTGCGCCTCTCCCGCTGTCCCCCGAGCTTGTGGGGCTGGCGGTGGGGCTCTCCTGAAGCCTGGAGGTTGTGGGGCTGGTGGGGGGGGGAGAAGCAGGCTTGCTTCTCCCACCCCCAGCCTCCAGATCAGGTCGGGGAATAGCGGGATGGCGGAGCACCGCCATCCCGCTATTCCACGACCTGATCTGGAGGTTGTGGGGCTGGGGGGGGAGAAGCAGGCTTGCTTCTCCCTCCCCCAGCCTCCAGATCAGGTCGGGGAATAGCGGGATGGCGGAGCACCGCCATCCCGCTATTCCACGACCTGATCTGGAGGTTGTGGGGCTGGGGGGGGGAGAAGCAGGCTTGCTTCTCCCGCCCCCAGCCTCCAGATCAGGTCGGGGAATAGCGGGATGGCGGCGCTTCGCCATCCCCCTATCCCCCGAGCTTGTGGGGCTGGGGGGGAGAAGCAGGCTTGCTTCTCCCCCCGCCAGCCTCCAGATCAGGTCGGGGAATAGCGGGGTGGCGGCTCTGCGCCTCCCCGCTGTCCCCAGCTTTTGGGTGCAGGCTGCTGCCCGCAAGCCTTGCGAGCCCGCGGGACATCCCGCCGGGCTTGCAAGACTTGGGATAGCTTCCTGAAGCCTGGAGAGCGAGAGGGGTCGGTGCGCACGGACCCCTCTCGCTCTCCAGGCTTCAGCAAAAGCCTGCATTCGCACCATAGGACGCACACACATTTCCCCTTCATTTTTGGAGGGGAAAAAGTGCGTCCTATAGTGCGAAAAATACGGTAAGTTTTTGTATTTTTCTCAGAAGATTGATAAAGAATGGGGGGCCACCAGGGGGCGCATTGGAAGATGGCTGACAATAACATCTCTCCGACCCACACGAGGTAATTAAGAGGCTGCTATGGGAAGTATGCAGCCTTCCCGGGCCCCCCAAGGGGATGGGGGGGACTGCCTTGCCAGCGGTGTCCATAATTCACCCCCGGATTCGAAAGAAGGGGGTGCGGACACTTGGCACAAGCCCTCGTGTGAAGTCGGCTCTTCCTGACGCTGTCTCCAATCAGCGCACTGGTTCGCTTTGGCTCGAAATATATAATTGGAAATACATAATTGGAAAGAAGCTAAAGCACATACATCAAGCGAAGATCAGGAGTAAAGACTGCTGATTAATGGATCTCTGTGAGCGGAGCGACGGGCGGGACAAATAAATCAAGTGATGAATCACCATTAAAAGACTGGTATGTTTGGAGTGAAACGGAAAGGGGGTGGAGGAAAAAACTTTCTTTCTTTCTTTCTTTTGCCTTATGTGAGTATTAATAACCCTCCACCCCAGAGAGAAGAATCGTTGCAATTTATTAATCACAAGCAGGAATTCAAGAACTGTGTGGAGTGAATTATTGATCAAAGAGAGGATTGGTAAACATCGGAGAACAGAGGAAAGTTTTATGACGCAGTTTCAAATGGCGTCACGCCAAGACAGGCTTGCCTAAGAAGGATGGGGGGAGGAGGACCAGGGTCATCGGAATGCGAGTGGTTATCGGAATGTGATCTAGACCTGGCAGAGCCCTCTGAGATATGTTTGGCAAGCCTGGGGGAATCAACGGACAGACTGAGGGAAAGTTCTTTACGGAGGTGTGGAAATGGCGTCTGTCCTTATGTGATATGATTTTTGGACAGTGTAAAACCCACACAGAGGATGTTTGTTTTCAACCCGCTTGTGAAGATTATCGGAGATCGCAAAGAAAGGAATATATTATAAGAACAAGAAGATGAGGAAAGTAACAAAGAGACTATCTGGACAGAACTGGATAGAACTGTCTAATTAAAGCAGCAATATAAGTGATGTTTGGACCCCTTTTCGGAGCTTGAAGTATGGGTACCCCCAACAAAAATTTAAAAATCTGGCTGTATAATTTGGAACTAATGTGATTTGGAAATAATGTGATTTGATTGGCCTGTTAATAAAAAATATATTTTTTTAAAAAAGAAGATTGATAAAGAATGCACAATCATTTTGGTAATTACAGTGGTACCTCGGGTTACATACGCTTCAGGTTGCATACGCTTCAGGTTACAGACTCCGCTAACCCACAAATAGTACCTCGGGTTAAGAACTTTGCTTCAGGATGAGAACAGAAATCGTGCGGCGGCGGCACAGCAGCAGCGGGAGGCTCCATTAGCTAAAGTGGTGCTTCAGGTTAAGAACAGTTTCAGGTTAAGAACGGACCTCTGGAGTGAATTAAGTACGTAACCAGAGGTACCACTGTATTGTGTGTATATTAGTCACCAATGTGTTGCATGAGTCGTACTACAAAAGGGAACACAGCTCTTTCTATCTGGGGCAACAATTAAGATGAGGCCACCATCTCATTGTGTTGTTTTGGAAAACACAGCTCTAAGACAATGGGATTTCACG